AAAAAAAAAAGTTAAATATCTTAACCCTACTGTTAGACCTACCTGAAAAACTAAAACGCAATTTATTTAATTCGAAGGCCTGTCGTTATTTTTTATTTGTGCTATCATTATTAATTTCTTTATTTGTTCTTATTTTATTACTGACTGCTTACTTGTCATTTTTTATTCAATTCAAAGTTTGAAATCAAGCTATCTCGTGCTACTGCACCAAAATTACCCCACTGTAAAATAAAAAAAACACTGAGTGAGCAAAAATTTGCCAGATAGCTAGTTATAATGGTAATTACATAATGTTTACATGTGTATAAAAGCCTACATTAAAATCTGTCATATAAATTGGTATCTTCATTAGAAATTAGCCTGCTGATTGCCACCATTGATGGACAAAATTTTTTATTGTGGAAAATGGGCATCCTATGACCCCTTTAAAGGCCACCGGGGAACAGAAAAATTGAGAATGACTGACAAAGAAGAAAATATAATGACTTAAAATTATTCAGTTTACCATTACTGAAGAAGCGGCTCTAATTTATGTTTTGTGGTAAATGAAAATATTTTAAATACTCTATTGAAAAGAATTAATATATAAATATATGTATTTTGACAAGTGTTTTCTTTATTCTCAGTGAACTTTTGCCAGAAAAAAAATAAACTATGGTATTAAATAAACTTAGATGATGTCTAAATGTTTTATAAAAGATTTAGATTTTTGTATGAAATGTGATATTAAATATTTGGTGTGATTTGTCTATTCTATTATGATATTCTGAAGCTGAATGTACTGTGACTGCGAAAATGCCAAAAATAATTAAATAATCAACTAAATAAATGATGACGTTGAGTTGAACCATGGGAATGTGACTGCCCTCGTCTCAAACAATAGTCTTACCGTCTTGAATGGCGCTATTTGACATTAATACACTTCAATACACATTAATACACTAGGCCAGTGTTTCCCAACCGGGGTGCCGCGGCACCCTGGGGTGCCGTCTGTCGAGAGCAGGGGTGCCGTGTAAAAAATCCTTTTTTAATATTTTTAAATTGCTAAAATGTTCAAAAAAGCATCTATTATATAATAACCATTTCTGATGTCGCCAATAATTAGAGATGCACCGAAATTCCGGCTGCCGAAAATTAGTTCACCGCTCAGGTTTCACTTTCACGTGGTGTGACGCTCTGCGTATTATCCATGGGTTAAATGCAGAGCACTAATTCCAAGTATGGGTCACCATACTTGGCCACATGTCATGTCACTTTCACATAACGTCTCCTGGACAGCCAGATAAACCTGTGTGCAAATAAGTGTGGATTTCCACAGACTGTATAAAAAACAGGTGATTTCTTACCCTCTTGGGTATGTTGGCTTTGTTGACGAATTATGTAGGAGGAACAAACTACTAGGAAACACACCTGCTGCACGGATCTGTTTCTTCTTGTTTGGATGTTTGAATCTTTTTAGCGAATCATTTCAATTTGGTGTACCGGTTCCTTTGAGTCATAAAGCGATAGTGTTTTTTTTTTTGTGGCCAGGACCGAGATACTGGGCCAGGACCTGGTTTGGTAACACCTGTGGTACTGATCTCTATGGAAGCCCGTTTCCGCCACTGAATAAAAAAATGTAAAAGTGACTTTTTTTATCTCACAATTCTGACTTTTTTTCTCGCAATTGCGAGTTT